TGTTTATTAATGATGTTGGGGTAGAGGGTGTCACATATATTGTCACAAATTTTATAATCTTAATTAGTTTCTAATCCATATATGGTTGAAAGTCATCCTTATTTTTCTTGTATCTTTTCCTTATTATATTCGTTGGAATATGTAAATCTCATAAAAAGAATAAATTAAAATACTTTTTTAATTTCTATACTTTCACTTATTTTATCTTTTAGTTCTTATAGTTTAAAATAATTTTTTTAGTCTCTATATTTTTCAATATTTTTTAGTCTCTATAATTTAATATAGATCTTTTTAATCTTTATATTTCTAGTTTTTTAATTTTTTAGTCTCTAATCGTTATTATTTTTATAACATTGTTTGTTTTGTGTTGATATATTAAAAACATTCAGTTTTGTGAGAGTAAAAAAGTGTTTCAATAATAGATATTACGGTGAAAATATAAAAGAGACAAAATGTATCGAGAAATCTAATTTAAAGTAAATCTAATAAAATAAATTCAACATAAAATATACAAAATTGAATTTATACATCTATCACATTAACATAAAAAAGACAATGTTGCAAAAAAAATTAACGATCAAAACTAAAAGAATTAAAAAAAAAAGATAAATATAAAGATTAAAAAGATCTATCTTAAATTATAAAAACTAAAAAATATTAAAAAAAAAATAAGTATAAGAACTAAAAATATTTATTTTAAACTATAAAAACTAAAAAAATAAAGAAAGTAAAATTTTAAAAATTTTAAAAACATTTTAACCAAAATAATATTATTTTAGACAACTTTAGTGACTTTTACGAATTACTCGATCTCTATTTAATGTATATTGTTACGTTTCTAATTAATGTATCTAGTCAACTATGAATGATGATATTTTTTTTTGGAGGGAATATAATAGATATATAGAAAGTTGCAATTTTTGGCTTTTAGTTCTACAATTATCACTCCTAGAAAATTTGAATTTTTGAATTTAGCAATAGATTTTGAGTAAACATTTAATTTGGACTCTGAAAAATGGTAGAGGTGATTGATAGATTTCTAAAATAATATTTTATGACATTTAAAATCTTAAATTTTAATTTTGTCATGCAAGTTAATCATTCCATTATATTCAATTATTAGTTTTGTTAGTCTTATGACAAATTAACAATTAATTATCAGGTTGGCATATTCTCTCTCTAATTGACATACAATAGTTATAAACTTGGTAGATTTAGAAATGTGATAAAATAAGATTTTTAATTTTTAATTTAATTTATAAACAACTAAAGTTACATTTGAATAACTTATTTCTTCTTATTCTCATATTCCATTTAATCCACAAAACTAATTGGTGTGAGACAAAAAACTCATTTCTACAATACAAGGGTTTAAGACATTGTTGAAGAGAAAAGTCAGCCAACATCATTAGAGTAACAAAAGACAAGTGAAAAAGAAAATTTTCCAAACTAGCTCACATTCTTATATTCTATTTCACCCGCAAAATTGATTTGTGCAAGACGTAAAACTCATTTCTACGAGACAAGGGTTTCAGACATTGTTGAAGAGGAACATCACCAACATCATTGAAGTAGAAAAGGACAAGTGAAAAAGAAAAATTTTCTTGGATTTTTTTGTTGTTTGTGAAACTCTCAACAAAACCTAATTTTCATAGTAACAAAGAGGATCATTACCACTAAGTTCTTCCCTATTTCTACTAGAAGAGTTTTGAGATTAATTAAACATAGTATAAATGCCTATATTTGATTGACGTATTTTTACTTAATTTTTTTTAAAACAATCAATCATTTTGTCACACCCCAAATTCAATAATTTATGATTTATAATTTTAAACATGTTGAAAGAATAGTCGAAGAAATTAAAGATAACCAAGTTAGGAAATTAGTAGTTCCATATTTTCTACCCCTAAATTTGATTGTGTATACAAATAGAGTACTTTAATCATGTATCACATATAACTTTATAATTATTTATTTTATGTAAAAATAGTAGCGTAGTACTATATATAATTTAGATATATTCTACTATTGTTTATAATATTTTTGGATAGGAAAGTTTGGAAATTTTACTGAATTTCACAATGTATAGTGAATAAGTTCGAAAGATCATTTATAATATATATACACACAATTTTGTTAGATACTAATGAAGTTAGTGTGTGCGAAGGTGATACCACATCTCAAGCCTTTACCAGCTAAAAATAGTCATCGGGTATGTTTATATAAGAACCGGTCCAAATTGTTAAGTCCAAAGAAAAAAGCTAAAAAAAAAACTAAATAAATTGATGTCTGAAACAGAGAAATTTGAAAACAACAATTATTACTTAATTAGCCCTCAAAGAGCAAAAATAAAGTAATTAGTCGACCATTGCCAATACATTATCACAACTTTTCTTTATCCCTTGCATTATGTTATACATTGGACCTATTAATTACCAATTTTTAGTGTAAAAATAGGCATGGTAGTCTATTATTAAAAAACCTTTTTAATAAAAAGTCTAGAAGATTTGACACAATCCATATAAATATAAAATAGTATTATATATTAATTTATAATTAATATTTATATTTAATACATATAATTATTAATATATTTAATAATTAGTCCTGTTGACCTATTTGTAGGTCTTATTACTTTCATATAAAAGAGACTACATAAACAGACAATAAAAAAATCCATATTAGATTTTTAAACAGATCAGGCTTGTATTACATAAACAAACTAAACATTAACTTAAAGAGAAATGATATACACACCCTCTTCCCTTTTTAATAATTATATATCTCTTCTCTCTTTTTTTCAAAAAAATTATCTAAATACACTTTTAATAATATAAAAAAAGTTCTACAAATTAATTTACAGATAAACTAATTTTAATTTATAAAAAAACTTAATTTCATTTTTTCCCTTCATATTTTCTTCACCTATAAGTTTTTTATGAAAATCACTTACCTTAACAAACACAACGGTCCAAAACTCAAATTCGCTAACCTTGAAATTGAATTCTATTGATACCACAGCACTTTTTCTTCCATTTCAAATTCATTCACTATGACAGTTAGGGAAAATGGTATTCTATGATATCTCTTCTCTCTTTTTTTCAAAAAAATTATCTAAATACACTTTTAATAATATAAAAAAAGTTCTACAAATTAATTTACAGATAAACTAATTTTAATTTATAAAAAAACTTAATTTCATTTTTTCCCTTCATATTTTCTTCACCTATAAGTTTTTTATGAAAATCACTTACCTTAACAAACACAACGGTCCAAAACTCAAATTCGCTAACCTTGAAATTGAATTCTATTGATACCACAGCACTTTTTCTTCCATTTCAAATTCATTCACTATGACAGTTAGGGAAAATGGTATTCTATGATGTGCAAAAGTAGAGGGATACTAGTTTTTTTTTTTTTTTTTCTAGATTAACGGTATCTTTTGAATGCTACTTACAATCCTGAACCTGAAGTACTGACATCACTTTTCACAATTACAATAATATATACTATTATTCTGTTTCATCACAACCAACCTACACTACTATATATTTTTGCATATTCCTGCCGTTTCTAGAATAACATGCTGCTAATCTGAAGAAAAATGAATTGACCAAAAGGAACCAGATGAATGGCAATTTTGAAGACTCATACAATGTAAGTCTGCTTCATACTTTTGCGCCCTCGCTTTCCTCTAGGATTGGCACTAATCAAGGCATTCACAAGCTCAGAATCCTCTTCGGTGATCAGTATGTTTGCTTTACTCGGGTCAGCAAGCAGCAGCTTCGCCACAAGGTATCCTGCGATTGACCAAGTCTGATATAGTCGAGATTGCTTTCCGATGAACCGAGATCTTTTCGTGTCGTAATATTCCGGCCACCTGTCTCTTGATATGCGTCTCTCCGCAATCTCAACAGCTTTTGCAGCAATATGTGTTCTCTTCATCTTTATGCATGCAACTGTGAGCTGCAATAGGCATATTTTTATGTTAAAAGCTTGCACTTGATATTTCCAACTTTGCAATACTTGAATAAAAAAGCCAGGTACATTAAGAAAAGAATTCTACGTGTAAATTACATAAATGGGGAGACATTTACTGCTAAATAATGACGACTAAGCTCATTCAGTTACATGTCTAGCTGAAAGAAAATATACATAGGACATATTATAATAAGAGTTAAGGTGAAAAAGAGTATAGAAGCTTTTTAATAAGAACTGCTTCAACTATAGAGATTTAAGTGTACCAAAATTTGCCACTGCAACTAACCTGCCAGAGCAGTGTTGGCCAGGAGCCTGCATTATGGTAGGACCAAGGTCTGCCAAAGAATAAACAAATTAAAAAAAAAATATTTGATGAAAAATATAATAAGATAACAGAAAAGCATAAACATGGCAAGTTAGATACAGTACGTGTTCTTAGGATCACTGCCTGTAATTATCTGCCACTCCTGACCATCAAGAGCAGGATAACAAATCTTGAGTGGCATCTCTGCAACCAAATCTGACCATTTGGCTTCAATAAGATCCAATATGGCATGTGATTGTTCCACTGTGGCCAAACTGTTTACGACCGACCACAAATTTCCCAGTGAAAAAAATCGGAAATCCATGTGAGCTGGTTGTAAGTTACCAATTAAGTAACCTCCTTTGTTTGGCATCCATTCCACTAACCAAGGCGAAATTTGGTCTGGGTATATGTTGAACTTATTAACTGCATCATACGAATACTCCTCTGTCTTGTAACGGTAAATCTCATTTAATTTTTTCAAATCAATCCAATAGTATTCTCTAATATGAAATGAAAGAGCTACCAGACGGTTGTTCAGTGCCCGTATAAGATCAGCTGATCCATCTTCTGGAGTAAGCATCTCACGCGCACAACGTAAGGCAGAATAAAACAGTGCCTAAAAACAGAAAAAGAAAGAATACCTGTTAGAGAAGAATACAAACAATATTTTAAACAGAATATGTAAACTTCAATGCTTCTGATAATAGTAAACTAGGTATTAGGTAACACTGTTCAGAATCATTTTTAACTTCCACGTGATTTTATTACATAATTCCCTCATTTTCCAGAAAGGGGAACTTATTTATCAAAAGATTGTTGTATTTACAACATGCAACAGAGCAATAAATTCGATTTGTTAACATTCTAAATTCTGATATGGCTTAACCAAGGCAGTTGAGAAAGTTATAGGCAGTTGTATAAGATGAAGGTGTAGATGTCTGATGTTTTTACTTTTGTCAAACAATTAATTGTTAGAAAGGTGAAAATACACATCATGTGCATGCTTGAGTGTCAGTTTTTCACATATTTATGTTAATCCATGTGCACAATCATAAGATAAATATCAGATGGATCATGGATGCATTTACTCACGGTCCTAAAATTTGTTACAAGTACTCACTTCTCTTGACTACCATAAGGGCAGTAAAGATACGGAAAGAATACCTCTAAACATCACAAAATTAGGTGTCAAGTAGTATCAATTACTGTTATTGAAGAGTCTATCAAAATTTCAAATAGTAAAAGCCATGGGGACCTTCTGTTCATGAACCAAACCAAGCCTTAATCTATGGAAAGAGATGTGTCATGTGTCTTGTTTGTAATTTCAATAATTTATTGGTTTAATTTTTATGCCCAATATCATTTTAATATTTATCAATTCAGATGGATCAGCTTTTGATATTGTTTAGTGTATTTAACTTTAACATCATTCTTTTCAAAAATAATTACTTTATTAACTCTAATGTATCTCAGATAATTGACTGTTGCTGCTGCCCACCAATATGAATTCGTCCAGCACTCCAACCTCATTCTTCAATCAACTCAAGCTCTTTGGGCATAGTCCCTTTATTTATGAAAATTTTCCATCCCTATTAATAACGAAGTTGAATTTTTCGTGCATAAAAATACATAATATAAAAACTTTCAAATACATAAAAGAAATACCTAATAGGCTAATACCATTAACAAAAAATCAAAGAAGAGAAAGCTCTATCACTAATAACTAATAAGGTACAGGAATGCAGGTCCTCAATCTAGCACAAGAATATTTGTTCTTGGCTTCTTGCTTCTTATCAAAATGGTGCAGTTACGTGCATCATTTTCCCCCTATCTAAGGAAATGTATAATCATGAATAAGCAGCAAGTTTTCATTCCTAGCCTTAGAAAATGCAAATTTATAAATATCATAAAATTGAAGAAAGAAAGGGAATCTTATTTACCTGAATCTCCAAAGGATGCCCATGAATTCCCATCCTCCGATCTATCATGCAAGAACCATCTGTTACTAATAAAGTTGGGAACATATCAAAGCCATCAGCAAGACACAACCTCAAAATCATCTTAATTCCTGTTTGCACATCAACTCTCTCCTGAACTGATAGATCACCAGAACATTTTCCATATGCTCGTAATAAAATAATCCACCATAATCCTAAAATCACATGTGAAATAGTTCAGCAATCCAATGAGAACTACAGTAAGTTTCTTCTTGTATGTATAAAAAATATTTCTAATGATTAGATTATTTACTTTACCTGAATCAACAGGAGCAACACGGCCAATGGCTGCCTCTCCAAAATCAGGATCCAAAACCTCTTCTGTTGCAGAATCATCACCATCCAGAGGAACTGTCCGAACCTTAAAACTAGCAGGCATCAAACCTTGTCCTGGACTATGACAATCCATTGTTTTCTCCCAGCTCTGAAATATGGATGTGTGGGTTCAAGACAGTGTATCAAAAACAACAAAGAACATCTTGACAAAAATTTAAGGACCCCGTTCCCCTCCCCCCCAACCATTTTGTTCATTTCATTAATTATCATACAGTTAAGGCAAAAGAAGTGCTGGCAAAAAACCATTACTAATGAAAAGTATTATTGTTTCCCTTTCCATTATGTACAGCACAGGGTCCTATAGCATTCTATCTGTAAAAAATTCACATCAACATTAATTGTAAAGCACAAGCATTTTGCGTGCTTCTTAAAAGAAAATTAGTATTTTACTTTATTCACCAAAAAAGTTACAAGTCAATGTAGAAACAGCTAGTATTAGATTTGTACTTTTGTAGGATTGAAAACAGTAACGACTAATGAATAAAAGCAACTTCATAAAGGCATAACACAAGTAACTATTTCATAACTTTGGAATAATCAATTAAAAGTGAAAATACATATCTAAGGCTTGTAAATTACAGAATTGTATCAAATTTAGTTGTGTAAATGACAAGTTATGTGTTATAAGACCAAGACTCCAAGACATTACCTGCAACTGAAGTGTATAAAGGATAAAGTTCCGAACAATATCATGTTCACCCTTCAATAGGAAAGCAATTCCAGAAGGAATGAAATCTCGAATAAAGACCTGGTCATAATTCAAAACATTGGAACTAGTTGGGTCCTTTGCAGCAATAGTCCCAATGGGATTGCCACAATAATAAACTACAGACTCCCTTAGTAGGTCCCATGCTTCTTCCTCAATGGAGTTGAGTCCAATTGTGTCAAAGCTGTCTGTAATAGCTCCATTTGTAACATTAGATGCCAAAACCTCCTTTTCTTGTTTCAACTGTTGGGCTTGGACATCATCAAACTCTAAGATATGCTTCGCACTCGTCACATTGCCTACCAAATTTGATGTTTCAACATCATTCACAAGCCTTGATCCATTTCCATCTCCAGTAGTTATGCCACCCACACTTTCAGCTCGTTGGCATTTGCATGTCTGCAACCATGGACGACTGTAGGTCTTATAGTCATGGAAACTCATCAACTGAAATTGATGAGTTCTTAACTGACTTTGAAGCATGCTAGAACACTCAAATAAATGCCTATGTCTCGAGGATCTTTTCTTCATACATTTTACTCCAAACCGGGAATGTAATGTTAAATCTAAAGAGTTAACACCAGGCTCGTTATACCCAGTTTGAGGCACAGCCCTGGACAAAACCTGAAAAACTGTTTTGGAAGTGCCCAGGGACATGCTGCTCTAAAAGAACGAACTGTACCGGCTTAACAATTCCTGTAGAGTGCATTTAGATTACAACCTATTAGAACTAAAGCAGAATTTAACATAATTGAATAGACAGAAATTTCAACTAAATATAGATTGCAAGATACTATCAGTAACTTGAAATTTAGAAGAGGGGAATAAATAGTTTACATGTGAAATTTAACTTATTTGCTTTAACAAACCCAGAAATCAAATGGTATGACAAGAAACAATGATCACAAAACGAATGTTCAATTCGACAACAAACAGTTTGGAAGGTATAAAATTGAGAATTGACATTCATTCACTAAGCCGAGACCAACCCAAAATCAATCCAATTTATTCATATACACATAATTCCAAGACTGAAAAAAAAAATCAATAAAATCAGACGCTAAGTAATTTAACCAGAGTTCAAAGCTAAAGAAATTTAACAAAAAGAACATAACATAAACAAGACATAGCTTAGTTTAATTATCAACAGAAACATACGCAAATGCAAATGACAAACAGACATACATATTAAATACATAGCAAAATTAACAAAAAAAAAAAAAAAAGAACGACAAACTATGATCCAAGAAACTACCCGAGTGCCAGGAAAACCTCAGATTAAACGAACCTTTGACCAGACAAGGACTGAGAGTGTCGTGGATCTTGGAATTAGAGGAACAGAGAACGTATGGTGAGAATGAACACCGTGATAATGCAGTGCGCGATTTTTATTTTTATTTTTATTTTCTTTCTTCTTTGCCTCTCTCTCTTTTCTTTTTCTTATCTTGTAACTGTTCTTCTCTTTTTCCCAATTGTAGCGATGAGATTTTTCTTTCGCCTTCGCTTTTTTATTTACGGCACGTGACAACGTGACCCCAGAAAAGAAATATGAGGAGAACGGAGATTGTCTATGTGCCACAAAAAACCAAATTTTAGGTTGTCTTTTTATTTTCCATGACCAATAAAATCTTTGTTTCCGTGTATTAGTCTGCCACTATCTCTTTTGCTTTTATTTATTTGATATTATTGTCAGCATTTTTTTTCTTCATACTATAGGTATTTATACTTATAATTAAAAATAAAATATGTAAGGGATAAGAATTACTAAATAATGCGATGAAATTACTTTACATATTTTAAGATTTTTTATGCCTTTTAGAATTGAGAAAATTTATGAAAATAAACTGCTTGGATCAAGTTATATAAATTTTATGTTTATCTATTTAATATGGCATGCGATCATTTCGCCTAACAAAATACACGATCTAAAAGAAATACTCTCTTAATAAAAATACTCTCTTATTTAGTAATTTTTATAAAAACTGATCTAAAATATATTTTGTAACAAAAACTTCTTAACTGTAACCATTTTCTTTAGAAGACTACATGCGTCATCTGGACGAGACAATCCTTATCGGGTTACGTATAAGTAGTGGAGATTCCGAGAATAGTTATCTTATTACTTTTTGGGGAAAAAAAATTTAATAAGAACCTTTTTAGACACTTCTCTTCCGACAAATAAGCTAATACACTTTTTTTTAACTTTTATTCTCATGTATTATCTCTTTTTTATGATAAACCTAAAATTTTATATTACTACAAACTAAAAGAATAGTTATTATTAAATAATTTGACAACAATTAGATCAAAAAATTGAATTTTGAATTAAAATATAAAAATCTAATTATAATTTATTTGATTCGTCTTCGAAATAAAATGAAACAACTAACCAAATTAACTATATTAAATAAATTTCATTAATTTGGTTTGAATTATCATTTTCTTTAAATCAATCTAATCCAATGCACTCCTACACGAAGCCATTTACAGTTATCACTGGTCCCCAGGATGACATACTTAACTTGGCACAGTACAAGTGTGGTTGGATTCATGCTATGGGAATAGGGTGGTAACTTGCGCAATTCTAAAGAAAGAGGGAAAAGATAAACAAAAATAGGCCACAAACCACTGAACTTTTAAATATTTAAAGAGAGCAAAAGCATACATTAAACCCTATCTAACTCAATCTTGTGTTTGTCCAACTGATCTTTCAACTCTTTTTTCCACTCCTGAATTAAATTTTCTTGTTTTTTTATCAGCCCATTTTTTTTGTTAAGTTCCTCTTCCATCAAAGCAATCTCCTGCACAGATAAGACATACAACAGAAGTTTAGATGAAAATATTACAATTTCCATGACTGATAGAAAAACATTATATGGTATGTTGCCAAACCTTTCTAAGCATTTCAGCTTTTGATGGCTTTTCCTCACGTTGCAGGCTGATAAAATAAAGCTGAAGCTTCTTGGCAGCCTCCATAAAATCTCTTGCATACCTATCCACGTCAACTGAAAAAAAGAAAATACCAAATCAACGATAATTCAGTTTGGATACATGGTTATATTTACCAAGCATTGCAAGATGAGAAAATATTTTTGCTTTGCAAATATAGTTTCCAACACAGGACTGGAGCAAAGAGAAAACTTCCCTTCTCAGGGTAAATTAAAACCCTGGGACATAATTGAACCTTAACTAGTCTTGCAACAGCTGTTAAACTTAACATGGTCTTGTCACGGTGACCTGATCATTTTCTATTCAACTTCAATAGCTAATTTTAGTTCTAGCGATACATGTTACATTTTGAATTCAAACCAGAAGGGCGCCATAATTCTTATGAACTTTAGTTAAGGTTAACAAGGTGTAAATAAATGCCCCCATAATATATGGAATTAAGAAAAATGGACATAGATAAAAACAGAACTTCATCCAAACTCCAAAGATCAGTATCAGACATCTGTTTATGGTATTTTCACTCTTTTCTTGGGTTAGATTGTATCAACTGCAAAAATCATCTATAGAACATTTCACCACCCTTCTTACCTCCCCACCCCACCTTCCTGCCCTAGATAATCAATGTGTGAATACTTGCACATTGAGCAATCTATCAACAACTGAATTTCAAAAGAGGGATTATTACAAGGATGTTCAGCTATAATGTCTTATAAATTACTTTCGACAGGTTAACCTAATAACACAAAAAATATCACATGGCATATCATAATCATCCCCTCATCACATGAAAAGTCTCGAGTTAATAGCATGTATATATTAAACAGAAACAGAAATTATGACTCCTCTCATGTTGTGGGTACATGTATTATCGTATATACCAAATACATGATGCTTTCAAGTTGCATGTAATCAAAACTCAACAACTACTTAACAATAAACTGACTTGAAAACATTTCTCCTTTAAATAGAGTGTACATCTTTCTGAAATAGAAAAACTAGAATAATAAATTCAATTGAAAAGGGAAAAAATAAAGGATATGTTGACCTCCAAAAACTTCTAGCATCTATTAGAGACTACAAGTAATGAGTAATATTTAACCAAATAATCATTTCCAAATTAACACCACTTCAATCCCAGGAACAATTTACTGTCTTCCAATATAGAATGAATAGAGTACAACACAAAGTTCTTTGACTTCTGCAGGCTCAATGAAACTTTCTTTTACATATATATTCCAAAAAGAATACCCTTTTCCCGTTTTTTCAGTTCCTCAAACCTTAAACTGAAGTAGACACATCTTTCCTTGATCTCCTAAGCCAGATTCTATTGTTAATTCAAGAACTATGTGTGTATGTAAAAAAATCTCTAATTGTAATCCCTAAAACCTTTGAGTGATATGGAATCAGTATGTCAGATGATTAAATAAAGTTTCAAATGCCTTTAGTGCTAATGGTTGATGCATAGTTATCAATCACAAATAGCCACGCACAGCAACCCGTTTTGAAGACACAAAATCATAATTTGAAAGACTTGCAGTTACTCACTTTGATGAGAAGGATGGGGAGAACGGTCTATAGCTTGAAGTTCTCTGGCTGGCAAACAGGGAAGCAGAGCAGCCTCCAAGGCCATAACACATGAAACCATATCATCTTTTGAGGGAGGAGAAGATGGCAGTTGTGGATCAACCGAGTGCTGTTGTTCAACTACTTGCCGGTCACCCATATGCCCTTTCAACCTGCCAAGGGAGAAATATAGGATTAACAAAAAATTCTCCTATAGCCTCTCTAGCATATAAATTTCATCAAATAACAAAAATATAACATGAGTGCTTCATAAGGCTTCCCATGCCAAAACAATTCACAGAATATATTTCTTATGTTCAGTTTGCGTGGAATTTTTTCCTTGGTTGTTATATAAATACATGACATTAACACGTTATTAATACTATTTTCTCATTTCTATCCATTTTTACAAGAGATACATAACAATATTAAAAAATTAAAAATTTCTCTATGACTCATCATTCACTTTTTCTTCCTCTTTCACTCCCACAGGCCAAGTGAGAATAACCATGTTTCTGAATGAACAAGCGAAGCTAAGAGAATGCTACCCTCGACACGCATCATTGGTGAAAAGAGTCCAATTAACTAATTGAGTGACAAAATAGCAAGGAAATGAAAGTAGTGGCACGAATTAAACCCGAGTTACATGTATAGCAACAAAACCTATTAGTTGAAATTTGAAAATGCAATTTGATTCGAATCTAAGTAAGAGAGTAACAATAGTAACATAACTAGAGAGGAATGAAGATTAGGAGACTCACGTGAGATTGGAGTAGTGGCGACTGAGAAGATTGCGCGCGTGAGTGATGACTGAAGAACGGTAAACGAGAGTTCAGATTTGGGTTTTTTATTTGTTTTGAAAACCTAATCTGCCTTTTGGGGAAAACATTACAAACGTTCATCAATTTAAAATTAATAAATAAATTGATATAAATAATAAAAAAAAACGAATTTTAAATACGTTTTTCTCCGGGTAAAAAAAATATATATTTCTCAAGTCAAGGATTAATAATTTAAAATTGAAATGTTTTTATTAAAAAATATATTTAATATTTAATTTTATTACATGATTTTTAATAATAAAAAAATTATTAACATTTTAATCATCAACAATAAGAATTTATACTAATATATAAAAAAGATATTACTTTCAATAATTACTTTTGGTTCCTATTTTTATATAGATTATTTTATCTTTCGTTTATTTTTCAATAACATTTTTATGAGTAACTTCTCATTCTTTTCTTTTTTTTTTTATTTTTTAATATAATGCAGGCATGTAATAAATAACGAAAATCATTTTTGACAAATTATTTATTTTAGATTTTTGTCTATGAAATTATAATAAACTTCTTTTATTAACAAAAATTAAGTAATAAAAAGTACTAATTCTTACGAAATGAAAATTTAAGGTTTTAAAATTGTTTTTGGAGAGGTATTCACGTTTCTAAGAAGTGTTCTTTTTTTATAACAAAATACCGATTTATTTTAAATTTTCAATCTCATTGAAGGAGGGTTAATTATAACAAGATTAAAACTTGTACCTTAGAATGTATTTTTAAATTACTAAAATGAAATAAAAGTGAGTTATTCCACTCAGCAAAAGCTTTTTACAATAATTTACTTGCACTAAAATGCATTTTGATAAATAGTTAAAATTCAATGTTTATTCTAAATTTAATTGCTGAGAAAAATAATATTTTAGCTCACTAACTTTGTTCTTTATTTTGTTTTGATCTTTTAACTTTTTTATTATCAATAATTGTCAAAATTAATAAATAAAACAAAATTAAAGTATAAAAAATAGAGATAAATGAACAAAATCAAACAACAAAATAAAGAATGAAACCAAAAAAAAAATGGATATCTAAAATACTATTTCTCTCAAAACATTTAAAATTTAACATTTAAATTGTAATCAAATAAAGTTTATGTTTTTTTTATCTGCCATAAAAGCTTAAATTTTAAGTTGAAAAAATATCTATATTTATTTTTTAAATATTATGTATGACTTATTTAGAAA